TTTTTTTTTTTTTGGTGATTATCTTGAGCTGAGTATGTGATTCATTTTGGGTCCTTCCTTATTCGTGTTTTGGAATTTTTGCTATTTACTATGAGGTGAAGTTGAGTGCATTCATGTTCTTGCTTTACTATGTAAGTACTGTATACTGTGTGTATGCCCATGAAACATCATCTTTGAATATGCATAGTTAGAATAAGTCGAAGTCGATGAAATATATATGAGGTTTTATAAAGTCCTGAAAAAAAAATGTGCAGAAAGTGTTGCTAAAACTATTACAAGCTCGTCTTTCTGGTGTGGGATTGTATGAGTTTTATTACATTATTAAACTAATGCATATCTACTGATTGTGATTTCTATGTCTCATATATTTTGTTTGGTGATTTTTAGTTAATCTTTAATGCAAAGTTCATGGAGTGGCGGATATGCTCATAGTTGTTCAAACCAATGTGTAGTTTTTTCATTTGATAATACTTCATTTCACGGTCATATAAATTGGTCTGCAAAAAAAAAAGAAGAAAAAAAAGAACATTGTAATGAAATATTTTGTAACTCTTGCAGATGACTACAGCAATTGCCATAGAGGACGTGAGAAGAGAAGTGAAGATGTTGCGAGCACTAACAGGACATAAGAACTTGGTCCAATTCTATGATGCCTATGAAGATGAAGAAAATGTCTATGTAGTGATGGAGTAAGTCTAAAATTCAGACTCTTTTCTGTACCTACATTTCGTATTTTCTCATTTTTTTTCGTATCACTCTTTTCTAGAAAAAAAAAAATATTGTCAGTTTCTATACCAACAATTTTATAATCTTTTGTCTGTTAGATTTTATAATTGGTGTGTAGATGTTCATCTAATTTTTTGCTAATTAGACGTTTAACAGAATAAAATGCCACTTTTTTGTTCCTTTTTTTTTTTAGGTTATGCAAAGGAGGAGAACTACTGGACCGAATTCTCTCTAGGTAAGCTCGATTTTTTTTTTTTTTTTTTTTTTTATCTTTCATCATCTACGAATGCTCGTTGATTTTTCCTCATTTGTTTGGTCCAGGGGAGGGAAATATTCAGAAGAAGATGCAAAGATTGTTATCGTGCAGATTTTAAACGTGGTTGCATATTGTCATCTACAAGGCGTGGTTCATCGTGACCTGAAACCTGAGGTAAGTCTACCGGTTCATTTAACTTATATATTTTCTGTGTTATTTTATTGTTGAAATGTATGGTGTCTTATCAGGACTTTCTGAGTTTTATTGTTTGTTCTTGTTCCTTTTTTAAGGATATTTTGAACCTAATATAAATTTTGTTGTTGTTTTTTTTTTTTTTTTTCGCTGACAATTATATTGTTCACTGATTATTATATGTTCGATTTTAGCCAAAGACTGAATGAAGCTGAAACTTTCTTATCAATACATATGAATATTATCATTTTACTAATTTTCCATGGATTTCTCACGTGTTCACCTCAGAATTTTTTATTCACGACAAAAGACGAGCATTCCCCTCTGAAAGCCATCGACTTTGGACTTTCTGATTATGTAAAGCCAGGTTATTACTAATTCTACTTCTCATTCTTTTGATCTATGGCCAAGTCGAGTCTGACGAACAAGAAGAAATGTATATTCTTTACAGACGAAAGGCTTAATGATATTGTCGGAAGTGCTTATTACGTGGCCCCTGAGGTTTTGCATAGATCTTACGGAGCAGAAGCCGATATGTGGAGTATTGGTGTGATTGCGTATATTCTTTTGTGTGGGAGCCGGCCCTTTTGGTCGAGGACGGAATCTGGAATCTTCCGGGCCGTTCTAAAGGCCGACCCGAGTTTTGACGAATCCCCCTGGCCTGATTTGTCTCGTGATGCCATAGATTTTGTGAAACGTTTGTTGAACAAGGATTATCGTAAGCGACTAACGGCAGCTCAGGCGCTGAGTAAGTGATTTAAAATAGCTAATTCTTGATAAGCTAGTTTATAGCTTATAAGTGATTTTCGAGCTTATAGCTTATGACTTAGAGCTGAAAAGCTAGCTTATATAGTAGAAGTGTTTGGTAAAATTAGCTGATAAGCTAGCTGAAATAAAAATTTCAACGAGCTTATTCGAAAAGCTACCCAAAAAATTGTGAGATAAGCTTGAGCTTTTTAAAAAAACTCGTCCTACTACCAAATGAAGTTTTTTCGAATACAGGAAGTATAAGCTAGCTTATATGCTTACCAAACATAGCTTAAAACAAAAATAGTAGATTTGTAATTGATGCTGAATGTTCTTTTTGTCACGACTACAAGCACATGCAATATGTGTGTAATTTGTAAGACAAATGCAAAGCCAAAGGGTTGTTTTCTTTTTAAAAGATTTATGAGATCATTTGTGTAGTTGAAATAGCCTCAAGGGGAAACTATTTGTATTTATTCCTTATTGTTAAGCTTATGATTTTGTTCAATATCATTGATATTATTTTATATCATTGATATCCAAAGGTCTCGTTAAAAGTGTGTAAATTAGCTGAAATCTAAATTGTCTAACTGGTTTTTATAAAGGCAAGAAAATACGTACAAGGCTAAATATTTTAGTTTTTTAGTTTTTTTGTTGCATAATGATGAAATCCTTTTGTCGTGTTCTAGGTCATCCATGGCTGGTCGGACATCATGACGTGAAAATCCCTCTTGATACGATTATATATAAGCTCGTGAAAGCTTATATTTGTTCTTCTTCTTTGCGAAAGGCTGCATTAGGGGTATGCAAACATTACCATCTTTTATTTTTCTTCTTTTCATTTTTTTTCGACTGACATTTTCGGAAGAATACTATTTTTTATGCTGAAAAATTTCATCTCCAAAAAGTTTATGCAAAATTTTAAAATAAAAATAAAAATTCTGCAATTATGACAGGCTCTGGCTAAAACATTGACAATACCTCAGCTAGCCTATCTCAGGGAACAGTTCACAATGTTAGGGCCGAGTAAAAGTGGATTTATATCCCTCCAAAACTTCAAATTGGTCAGCTCTTTTTCTATATAAAATGTATATATGTAATATAGTGTGTGTGTGTGTGTGTGAGAGAGAGAGTATTAATTTTCACCATCTTTGCTGTTAAATTTGACTTACATTGACTCTGCAGGCTATGACAAAGAACTCGACTGATGCAATGAAGGATTCGCGGGTTCTGGATTATGTCAATGTGGTAAAATTTTCAGTAGATTTTTTTTTTTTTTTTGCTCGGTTAATTATTACAAGATTCTATTCTGAAGTCTCACTCAACCACTAAAATTTACACTCAATTATGTCCATAAAAATCACTAATAATACCTCCTGGCTAGAGCATAAATTGTGAAAACATTAAAAAAAAAAAAACACTCAAAGTGTGGATCTTTTACATACGGCAGAGGTATTTTTGCAATTCCGAGTGATAGTAATTATATATTTTTTTAATTATTTGTGTTATATGCCATGCAGGTGAGTTCTCTTCAGTACAGAAAATTGGATTTCGAGGAGTTTTGTGCTGCCGCAATAAGCGTACATCAGCTTGAAGGTCTCGACAGCTGGGAACAACACGCGCGAAGTGCATACGAGTTTTTTGAGAATGATGGAAATCGGCCAATCATGATTGAGGAGCTTGCTTCTGTATGCCTCTCTCTCTCTCTCTCTCTCTCTCTCTCTCTCTCTCCATTAGACGATCACCTTTTGGTGCGGAAAAGTTATTCAAAAATTTAAATGATGAATAGTTTAATTAGGAGATGATAAACACAAAACAAAGTGATGATGATAGTTAGTCATACATACATAAAAATAGTCGAACAAAAGTTCAATGGTTAGAATTATGCGAGTGGATGAATAGTGGAATTTGCATAACACATGAAGTAATATTTTCCCTTTTTTTAGTTTTATTCTATTTTGGAATGGAACTGCATTATAACTAGCAAGAACAACCCAAAACTTTTTTGTTCCATTTTCAATTCGACTTTGATGCAACGAAATTAGCTTTGTTTCACTAAGATTATTGTTGCCCGATGAATTTTTCAGTTGAACAACACTTCCGAAAAAAACGTCTTATATTCTCGAGTTTTTTATTTTCCATCTGACCTTAGTCTTTTTTTTTTTTTT